CGAGTCCATTATTAGCTAAGGGCGTATTAGCTAAGGGCGATTTCAAGTCAAAGTCAAAGTGGGGCTCACTTTGGGATGTTTTCAAGTAGTGCTGAGTTTGATTTTTACAACATCGTTGATCCAATCTCTATTCAGAGCAATAAAACAGCAAAAGTTGTTGAAGTTTTGAACCACGACGGCACGTTCACATATCAAGTTCCCTTCATTGGAGCTATTGTTACAGCGAAAGTTGTGGAAATCAGTGACAAGTATGTTCCAACACCACTTTCGATTAGATCTTCTCTTATTTGAAACTTTTAGGAACGCAAAGTGTACAGTGTTTCGTATTGAAGACACCGACTTGCAACAAGGACTCTCATTCAGCGCGGTTATACGAAAAGAAGATATGCGAACAGATGTTAAATTAGACGTGGGTTTATGGATCTCATTAACAGCATTGCGCTGTATCCATTTATTGAACTGAAACCATATTTGATCTTCAATAGCTGGTTTGAAAGCATGGCCTAAGATCGAATGGTGTGGTTCTTGCACACCAGTTCGATCCTGGGAATAGGAATGTATTAGTGCGAAATGGACGGCAGTGAAGAAAAAAGGGGAAGAATCCGTCGAAAGCACTTTAAGGATCTACTCACCTTCGCAATAGGCTGTGCTAGGGTAATGAGAGAATGAGCGATAGAGGAGAGTATGAGGCGAGAGAGCGCATGACAACAGCTCGATAAAAGAAAAGCTTGCAGCTGCTGCATATCATTTTGCAAGGCCCTAGCACTCTAGTGGGGCGATTTCCCATGGACTGGTTTCGTGGTAAGGCTGTCCTACAGACCGAAGGGAATATTCACATGATCTGCCTGGTTTGTGCCATTAATCTCATGAAACTTGAAGTGAAGTCTATTTGTTAACTCCGCCCTTTATGACGACATTTTCACCCGTTCCACCTTTGCTAGCTACTAACCACGTTGTAGTGCTGTCCGTAGCATTCTTGTCTCCTTTAAGATCGTAGAAGTAACTCATTTATGTCTGAGTGGCGTCAAATAGTCCACTAGTAAACGTAAACAGTAAGCGTCTGATCGTGGCCTTGGTTTTGAAAGCGAAGTTATACGAATGTTCCATTCAAAACGCGTCGAATTGCTCTCAAAATAACTTGCATCAGGTCTTTCTCCGTGGCTGCCCGTAGAAACTCTGAACGCTGCGCGTCTGACGTTCATGGCTATCGTGCTGGAACCGTAATCGCATTATTACATTTTTAGGATTTGTGAGAAATTAAATGAATCTGTGCGACTTCAATTTAGCATTGTTCCGCAAAATCAAACGTATAGCATATTTGTCTGGTCATCTCAATGTGTTCGAGTTTTCCAAATCATTGCGACACTCCCCGTAGAATGGTTACTTTTCAGCAGTTCAAAGTGCGGGATTGTATGCTTCCTGGAGATTACGTGATAGCAAGTGTCATTTCAACAGGAGACTCGCATTATTTGTTGTCAATAGCGGATAGTAGATTAGGTGTTGTTGCTGTTAAAAGCCCCAATAAGAATCTGTGGTTGCCACCAAATTCTAGCGAAGCGAAAGATTTGGGATCTCGTAAGATAGCTCTGATACCTAATACATTACCTAAGCCGGCGGCTGCATCATAAAATGTTCGTCTCAGGAACATTGAATTAAAGGCAAATGAATTTTTTTCCATTGCTGGTGGACTGTTTTTTTCTCCTCTATATATTCGCACTAGTTTTGAATAGAGCGCAGTATGTTATTTAGTACTGTAACAGATTAACGATGCAATTTTATGCAGACAATATTGACACCATGATTTTGAATCTTTATGACGTTGTTGAATAAACAATAGAGAACAGATACTATGTAACACTTATGTAAACCCGTGTATGCTCAGTGTTCAAAGATAAAAGGTAATTAAATGTGAATATCGGCGATGAGACTTCAATATCTATTAAAAACCGAGATTCACCAGCATTTCGATGACATTGTGTTGCAGTGCGTATTACTTGTTTCGATGACAGACAAGGTATTTGGGATTTTGGCAAGAGCGTAGATAGCAGTTGGGAAAATAAAATAGTGGGGTAACAAAATCATGTGCCCTTTCCCCCCGCTCGACGATGGCAATTTTGAGAAATTCTATGTACAGGTCGACTAGGTTCAACGACACTAATAAACCATCGACCATTGCAAGTTGCGGGAGAGGGAAGTACATAGAGGTCGTATTCATCACGGGAGGAGGGCATACCAAAACCTCAGCCGAAGAGAGGTCGCACTGTCATGGTCATTTTCTCGAAATGGTATTTCCTGGCTCAGACTGAACAAAGCGTCGAGCAATGGCATGGTTGATGTCTCCATAAGCTCGAAGATGAACTGAGAAATACTCGCATAGAGATCGCACAATTTTTCTCAACAATGACTATATTCAATCCGTGGTGAACACCCGTGAGCTGAGAACACGTTCAACAGCATTAACTAGCCGCCTCTCTCGACTGCCTTGTGGGCGAGCATCAAGACAGTTCATCGCCAATTGTGCACGAGTTACTGACGAGATTCGAAGCATAAGCGCAGAAACCAGAGGTGCAAGCTGTGGGAAGACCTTAAAATAGAAAACCTGACGGCGGAAGATACTTACGCTGACACATGTCCACTGAAACATACCGGTACAATATGTCCTAAAGACGGCGTTATCGCTGTAAAAAGGGCGTGATTCCCTGGCATTTGAGTGAACTTCAACAGGCTGTTCAAGGTATCAATCACCATATTCAATGAAACAGCGGATTCGGGCAAACGATACTGAAATTGTTTTTCATTGCTTTTCACTTCCTTACAAATGTGGAGCCTTGTGTCAAGGTTTGGATCTCAAAACGCATGCTCACAGTACTTACGAGTGACAAACAAATAATCAGATGTTCAAACATACGATAGCTCCTACGAATCATGAATCTTCAAGAAACACACCTTTCGACCAACTTCAGCCATAAGACACACTGCAAAGATACGCCTTTTCATGTTGGGTAAAGCCAGCATTTCTTGAATATATTCCGTTGCCACAAACATTGATGGTATGTTCTCGACGAGCGGACGGATCATATCGATGGGCCAAGTCTGTAACACCGTAGTCGAGACTCTAACCGGGTCAAGACGCATTCCAGCGTTCACAATACAAAATATCTCCTTGAAAAGCCCTGACCCAAAAATATAGTCCGCTGGACAAAAAAATGAATGAAAATACTTCTGAACAAGTATAGCGTGGCGAAAAATACGAATAAAACGTCCAAAACAATATATTGCAAGCCGCAAAAAGTTGAAATAAATTAATTTCTTGAAAAACCAAGCAAAGCATTTTATGATTGCAAAAAAAGTTCCTCAGAGGCTGCCATCATTTCTGGTACAGGCCTCCACTAGTTTTCGACTCGATGGTGCGGCGGTGGTGCTGAGCGCCTAATTTGTTTGAGATTTTAGACGTTTCTTTCAAAAGACACCAATTTTTCCATTTCCATTCCTTAGTAGTCTTCAATAAAGGTCTAATGGGTTCAAATTCGGTCTCTGAGCCGGCCACAAATCCATTGTCAAAAAAAGCCGAATGTGGTCTCGAAGAAGTGGATTTCTGATCGTTTTATTATGTAGGGACCATCTCTATAGAAAGAGAGTATTGGTATCATTTTGACTCCAAGGCAGCACAGCTTTCTTGAAGATCTCATCTTGATAGATCTTCGCACTGATTTGTTGATGGAGGGAATGAAGACTCCCGAAGCAGCGATACAGCCCAAACCATCAAATTTGCAAGGAAGGGGTACTCGCGTATATTTTTAATGATTGTTCTTGAGGACTGGGTTGGAAGATTGAAGGCGATTTCGAGTTCAAGCACTCAAACTATAGGCTTTTATTTGTGAAACTACAGGAAAACATTGGATCGCCGCACCCGAAAAAAAAACCCGCAGTCGGTTATATTTTCCCTCTTAATCGTGTTTTGGCTTATAAAGGTAGGAAATCAAACGTTTGATAAACGATAACCTCCAGTTCCATGCCTCATTTTGGCCGTAATTTAAAGAGATTTTCAAGAGGTTTCGTTCTGATCGCCACTATTATTCGAGCTCCGATCAACTTTTTGGTCATCCCTACTCTTAATAATTCCGCACCCATCAGGTGATGATAAGACCGTTCCCAATCTCCTTTGGGTTTGATTCAATAGTGATATCCCCTTTTGCTGCTTTGCAGTTTTCTGAACGGCACCAGAGAAAATGTAAATCTCGAACAAATCATTGAACACTAAATCCAACGCTATGCTAGTCGCGCAACCACTGGAATCAAGTTAAATAGTCGCTAGGCACTTGGGAAGAAATGTTTTCTGAAAAATAATAAATCGCAATAAGCAAATATTTATGAGAAAAAAGTACGCGTGAATTCCCTACATAATGTTAAAATGGAGCAGAATGGCCACGCCCACATAATCTCTTCGCCTTGCTGTAAACCTTACCTGGAAAAGTACAAGCTTCATCAAGTTCTTGTCTTGAATGAACATCTGATGGATGAATTCGCAGCATGTTTCTAACTCCACATCGGAGTGCTTTGCACTGCTGTTTTCGTGGATCTGAATATAATGTAGTTAGGAAAATCGTACTCATATTTCAAGATGTAACATGTATTACCATCGTTCATCCTCCTCGCGTCACTGATTTCAATTAAAACTTGCACTAGAACAGAAGTTTGGGAGTGATCAAATGCGTGTGCTAAGACATCTCGCGAAGCACGATCCTCCTCACTACAATATTCACCAACATTGCAATGATGACGTTCAAAAGCAAAAAGGAAAACAAATCAGAGGATCAATATCTGTACTAAATGATACTTGACAAAATGGCTTGCTCACTTCGTTGATGACGAGTTCTGCACTTGTGACATTAGTTGTATGCGGCAAGCTTGGTCGTAGAACGAAACCATTCTTAGAAAACAGGCAAAGTGTGCTGGTGATGAGAATATACGCCTGGACAACAGCATCAAAAACATATTATTTGATTAAAATCTAAATTAGGTACGATTCACCTGTCACATTCTAAACAAGAAGCATGTGATGTCTGCTAGCATGGACTTGGAGTGCGATTGATGATGCCCCATTATACGATGCAATACTGAAATAGCTTCAAATAGAAAGGAAAAGCGAACGCCATCCATTGACATACCTCATAAAGCATACGCGGAACTACGTTCTCGAGCCTAGTCCATATCCCAACTATTATTTCAACATAAGATTGTGGAATAGAGTCGAGGGAATATAGAAAAGCTCGAGCTAAACTGGGAATCAACCGGACCTGAAACCGTCCACATCTAGGAACATTATAACATATGCGGTAAACGTGTGGTGTGGCATGAGGGTGGTCGAACCCGTTTAGATAGGTCAGGGTGATCGACCGCAAGAGGCGTAGTTTTGGCGGGAATTGTTAGGATAAAAAGGGGGCGAGGAGCGTTTCAGATGTCTTCTTGTCTGCAGTAGCCCAGAAAGGGCACCCCAAAGCCGCGCCTCTCCATCCCGAACTCAATCCCCTCATCATCGTCGTCGCTAAGGCCCGCCCGAGGACTCATACGAGGCCGAATATTGTGATCCGATTCTAATATTCTTTTGTTTGTAATTATTGCGTGCCTTTTCGTTAATTAATTGTTTCGTCGTTCGATAAACTTGTTGTGTTTCGTGCGTGTGACGGTGTAACCCGTTGAGAAAGCGGTCGTACTTGACAAGAACCAGGGCCCATAGATACATGGGGGCCGAACCGGTCGAGTACTAGGCGGAGAAATTTTGCGCAGTAGGGCGCAAAGAGGAGCTCCAGATATCAGCCGAAGAGATAGGGAGGCTGACGGAGAGGCAAGTCGGACAAGCAATAAAGGGGTACGGTGCCCATATTGATCGGTTGGTGGTCCAGGTAGTTGGCGCGGAAAGGCGTCGTTGTTCGTATTGATCATAGGATCAGATTCAGTCTGTGTTTTGATATTTGTCGCGTAAGTTATCGGCATATTGATCGCTTTGGCTAGACGCTACAGTCTTTCATTGTTGCATCGATTGCTCTCGCTCTATATTGTCGTTGATTGTGGCACGACATCATACTAGAGTATAGTGTTTGCAGGCATGAGCTCTGAAAATAGGGAGAGCCACGCCATGGTGAGCGGCGCACAGGATGAGAATTGTGCAGCGCAGGTCAGTTTTGTACAGGATCAATTTCCATTCAAAAGAGCGAGTGAGGAAATTGATAGGGTAATAAAAGAGATCAAGCAAGTGACTAGTCAAGTTGAAAATGAGCTGATGGATGCCCGAATAGCGGGAAAATATAGAGCTCAAATGAGAACTAGTTTGGAGAAGCAGGTAAACCAAGCGGTTGAGATACTAGAGCAACTTAAAGCAAACGTGACAGGGCATGCATTATTTGGGAATGAGTTGTTTCAGACGCTGTATGACAAAGGGATTGAGAGCGTGAAAGATTGGAATGAGTATATTGCTACTACAGAGCGAGATGGCGAACTTATCGCGGACTTATGTGATATGTTTCAGACGGGGGGGGACGCTGGTCATTTACGAGGAGTACTCAGTGCAATACAGCCGTCGCGAGCACTAGCAAGACGGCAAGTGGAGTCAAAGCCGAGTGAAGAAAAAATGGACACTGAAGAATCAAATGGTCAGTCAAGGAACATGATAGTAAGAAGCCAGGGTGCACCCAATGAAGAAGTTATTCAGGTCGAGCCGAGGGAAAACTCGACGGAACGTCGACAGACTGGAGCGTATTACGAGCCGCACTCGAGGCTGCATTCGGTGATATCGTCAGAGAGGGCCGCCATACCAGGTCAGGAGACATGCATTTCATGGCATGGGGTCAGGCCAATGCATGCGTAGGGCCTGGGTGTATTTAGGGGTAATAAAAGTGAGAATTTCGATGAATTCATCAGGCGGTTCAAAAGAAAATATGGAGCTGTAGGGTTCGATGACCAAACATTGTTGGATATTATGGTAGACGATCATCTGGAAGGTAGGGCTAAGAGCGTGCTTCTAGCATTGCCTAACAGTGTGAGAGAGCGGGGTTTTGAGGCAGTGGTAGAAGAGGTGAGGAAAATGCTGACGCAAGATTCGACGGCGGGTCGACTGAGGGCACTCGCGGAGCTGAGATGCCTAAGGCGAAGACCCGGTCAGAGCGTAGCGGATTTCTGTAGTGTCCTTGAACACTTGGGGAGACAGGCCAACCCCTCATGCAGCATAAAAGACAGATCCTTAGAATACGCTCAGATTCTGTTAGACAACCTAACAGATTGGCCGGAGCATATCCAGTTGCTAAGCACACTACATGGAGTCAGCCCGTCAGAAGCGTATGATTCTGTTAAGCAGCTGGCTCTCACAATGGAACAGTCGAAATCTATGTGGGCTTCAAGTGGGAGTACACGTAGAGATGGGTGGAAAAGAAGATCAATGGCGTACCAACAAGCAGAAAGGAAGCGAGAGCTAGAGCCGAAAGGGGTCGAGGGGAGAGTGCAACATGACAGTCGAAAGCGCTTTGCGCCATATACGTACGCAGAATAATCACCTTTGTTCTGATTGTTTGGGTTAGCGATATTTGATCTTTCTTCCTAATGCAGCTAAGTACATGGATGGTTGAGGGAGGTAAAGGTGGCAATTGCTGTTGGCCTTGAGCGGAGGGGAGCGTCCGAGGCAGGCGAATACAGCGAGCACAGGAGATGCTACAATTGCCAAAGGATAGGGCACATTGGTAGAGATTGCCCGTTGAAGAAACCCCAAGTTAACCAAATTGCAGATAAACCCCCAAAGGGGAACACACCACCCCTCGAGAGAGCTGGGAAAAAGGAAGCAGGTAGAGAGAAACAGAGGATATCGTCGATAATAACTTGTGCACGAAGTCTGGGAGTGAAGTGTGAATTGATAGGAGTGCGAACACATGTGTGGAGGAAGTGTCGGTCTCAAAGTAGGTACTGAATAGGAGGGTGCCCGGCCATTCTCGACACGGGTTCAATAGTGAGCGTTATGCCAGTGGGTGTGCTAGCAAGAGCACAGAAGACAGGCTTCGATGTTGACAGCCTGGAGGTGATACCTAAAGGGTCTATGGTACCGGTGTTCGATGCTTCGAGGTAACAGTATGACCTTTTTGGGTGCGGTCAAGGTGGAAGTGGAGTTGGAAGGAGGCGGTAAGGCAGAAGTGGCGTTTCATATATCGGATGTGAAGGAGGAGGAAATACTGTTAGGTACAAATGCCCTAAAAGATGTAGGTGTGCAGGTGGTGCTGGCGCCAAGAGAGGCTAAGGTGGGGGAAGAGGATTCTCAAACAGTAGTCGTGGCGAGGCGGACATACGTACCCCCCTATGGAAGAGCGTTGGTCCCAGCCCGCTGTGAGGGATACAGCGAAGAAGTGGAGCGTGTTTATGGCATGTAAGGGCGGCGATGAGTGACTGGTTTATCAGGATTTAAGCCAGAGAGTGAAGGTTCGCCGTAATAAATGATAGCAAAAATCCATGATTTGGGGAAGGCGAAGAGAATTGGGGTCGTTGGGGGAACGAAAAGGAGAGAAGGTAATAGAAGCTTGCGACGATAATGATGTTATAGCGAATATGAGCTTACCCCGGCCGAAAGGAAAAAGGTTTTGCGTGAACAGGTCAGGGAGAGTACCGGAGTAGACGAGTTGAGTGAAGAAATTTTGGGTGTTTTGGACGATTTCCCAGACGCATTCTCTTGTGTGCGAGAGGGAGTTAACGGGAACAGACCGTGTGAAGATGGACATTGACACTGGGGAGCATAAACCGGTGAAGATGAAAGCTCGTCCAGTTCCTCTAGGGGTACGAAGAAAGCTGAGAGAGCTGCTAGCAGATTTGGAGAGTAGAAAATTATCGAGAAAAGTAGTTCCGAATGGGCTTTTCCGATCGTATTGGTAGAGAAGAGAAGATGGGAGTCTGAGACTATGTGTGGACTACAGAGAGTTAAATAAGAGAATCAAGTTAGACTCCTACCCCCTACCAAGAATTGATGCATTGCTCCAAAGTTTGTCGGGCAAAGCCTATTTTTCGACGCTGGACCTTTGTAGTGGGTACTGGCAAATTCCACTGACGGATGAGGCGAAAGAGAAGTCAGCCTTTGCAACAACAGAGGGTCTCTTCCAGTTTACCGTCACCCCGTTTGGAGTTAAGTACGAGTCCCCCTGTGTTCCAAAGGCTGATGGATTCGGTGACTGCATGATGGTTTAGGCGCGGGAAGTTTCTGCTCTCGTAAGTTATTACGTGTGATGCACTGATAACGAGAAAGACATGTAGAGCTGCTGAGGAAGGTGTGCACGTTACTGCAGCAGGCAGGTTTACGACTCAAGGCTCGGAAGTGTGTCTTGATGAAGACGGAAGTGCGGTTTCTGGGACACTTGATTGACAGTAAAGGCATCCACTTAGATCCAGGGAAGGTTGAAGCAATCCAAATTATGCGGTGCCAGAACGGTGAAAAGAGGAGACGTTTTTTAGGGATGGTTGTTTATAGAAGTTTGTTTGGGATGTGCCACGTAGACTGGGTGTTTGTTTTCCCTCACATCGCCGAAGTCATCTTGGAAATGGAGTGAGGAGCACCAGATCGCGTTTGAAAGGCTCAAGGAGATGATTTCGTCCGCTCCAGTTCTGACTCAGCCGAATATTGAAAAGGCTAGAGAGGGTTCGAGGCCGTTTGTAGTATGTACAGATGCATCGACAGTAGGCTTAGGGGCTGTTTTGTCCCAGGAAGGGGATGATAAACAACTTCACCCAGTGTGTTTTGCCTCCAAGAGTCTCAGTAAAGCCGAGCGTCGCTACCACGTCACCGACCTAGAGGCTTTGGCGGTGGTATTTGCAGTGAGACGCTTTCACATGTTTATTTATGGACTTCCAACGGTGGTGCTGACCGATCACCAGCCGCTGACGGCTCTCTTTAAGAAGTAAGTGTCACGGAGTGTTGCGATGGTAATTGGAATCAGCGTTACATCTGGAGATTAGATATATGAAAGGGAAAACCAATGTGGTCGCAGACGCACTCAGTCGTGGTGCTGCGCAGTGGGGAAGCGTAGACTCTATGCAGGGAATAAACGATGCCGTGGTGAATTCTGTCAAGGTCAAGGAAAAGACTAAATGGATGAAAGAATTAGAACAGGATGAGGATTTCGGCCCGATTATTGAGGCACTAAGGAGTGGATGTAGCAATGGCGTAGTGTCATGGGCAGGTCAGAGGAACCCGATTAGTATCGCGGACTTTGTAATAGAAGACGGCGAGTTGAAAATGTACCAAACTGACGGAAATCTGGTATATGTTGTACCGAGAAGTGAGCGCTATCAAGTTTTCCACGAGGCCCACGCGGGGACGTTCGCGGGTCACTTTAGTGCGCACAAACTGCTGAATAGACTGAGAAAGCAGGTATTTTGGCCTACCATAGCACGTGACATCCATAAGTGGACGGGAAGTGCAGCGTGCTTTTTGCACAATGCGCGACGAGAGAATGACCCCAAATTGGCCTTACACCGAGGAAGACTTTATGAGATTGTTGAGGGATGTCTATGGAATCCGGAATTAGTAGCGGTGTGGTAACCGTACGCGGTGACGGTTATCACGCATATTTCTCAAATTCCTGGCAGCATATCAGTTCAGGGATAAAGGTGAGACCATTGCCAAGACTCTGTTTGGGGATGTATGCGTTTTAGGGATGCCGCTGGCCAAGGCCATTTTGTCAGATAAGGGAGGAGAATTTGAGAATAGGATCATGGAGGAGCTCACTAGGATTACGAAAATTGAACATCTCATGACTAAGGGTTACAATCCTAGGGAGAACGGGATAACTGAACGCTTGAACGGTATAGGGTGTAGCATGTTAAGACGAAGTACGGTAACACCCGGTGCAAGGAGTGGGATTAGGCTTCCGTTTTGCATGTAGCGTTTAACCTGACGCACACTCATGCACGCGGAGAGTCCCCTATTTATTTACATGGATGGATCCTAATTTTCATCGGCAGGTTGATACCGGAATGGCGGCTTAGTCGTGGTTAATGAGGATGAGAGCAGAGACTATAAAGTGCAGCTGTTGCAGGCTGTTGCTGAGGTGCATGATAGGGTGAAAGAGGTTAATGATCGCATGCGTGGGAAAATGAAGCAGGAGTATGACAAGCGTAACAAAGTGGAACAGAATAAACCTCCAAAAGTGGGAGATTAAGATTTTACATGTTTGTCACAGAGAAGCATGATTTCTCACCAAATTGATTTGTGTTGGTAGGTGGGCAGGTCCTTTCCGCGTGCTGGAGACTAGTGAGAACTCTGCTGTTATAACTAGGATTGGAGAAAATACAGAGCCAGTCAGAGTACAATTCGACTTGCTCAGAGTCTTACCAGCGTACCTCCCGGATGATCGATGTAGGACGTGCATAACAGGTGGTAAAAGAGGAGAAAACCATGTGTGAAAGTGCAGAAAATAACATGTGCTTCTTTCAGGGGAGCGGAAACACGCTCGAAATCGGACAAAGGACATCTCGAGTACGTATGCAGAGATGGATGCTTCAAGGATATCAAGCTAGGCGATCTCAACATACAGTTTCCGGGCGCATTCTCGAAAAAGTCATTCGGGACACTATGGAACGCCTGGAGAGCAGCCAGTATCTTTGTGCGAACGGATATTGATGTAGCATCGAAGATCAAGTTTTGAAAAGAAGGAGCCACGTGTCTGGACGAAGAAGCGCTGGGAAAAGTTCTCAGACTAGCCTACGATAAGTGTCTCGATTGGACACAGGTTTGTATGTATGACGGAAGGAATAAGGAAACACGAAAAAATTGATGGGTTTGGTTTCGAACAGACATATGATGCAGCTTTGAAAAAACTCAAAAAGGACTTGGAGGAGGAAGAAAAGATAAGGAGACCAATTCAAGAAGGGCCCACAGCGTTTGCGGCACCTTCTTGCGCCGCCTTGTTGGAGAAAGATGGCCCCAGAAGGGGGATTTCTACTCGAGTCGTCGCATCGTTCAAGGACCTAGTGAATGACTGATACGATGGAACGACTAATAAGGATTGGGTTATCGTTTGGCGATATTTGACCAACTGGTAAAGAGGACGAGATATGCGGTATAGTGAAAGCTTGTGATCGTCACTCTGAGGAAGGTGGCCGTATCGTGGCAGTTTGGCCCCCTGTCGTGGAAAAAATATTTCAGAACATGGAAAAGAATGGTCGAAATGTGGATAATGCTTGAAGAGTCGATTTGTAAGCGCGCCGGGCCAGGACAATTTTTTCGCTCGTCAGGAACGCGCATGGAGAACGGAAGAATCTTCTGGGGTAGGTTGGTTACCAGTAGCAGTACCGTTTTTATGGGCTTCGATTTGAAGTAGTCGATGATGCAAAATGTTTGTAGGAGCTATCAAAAAGGGTTGCCACGTCGATTCCCCTCCCAGAGCTTAAAAGGCAGGAGCTCGTGTCGATGAGGACATCGACTAACCCGGGGGGCGGCATGTGGCATGAGGGTGGTCGAACCCGTTTAGATAGGTCAGGGTGTGATCGACCGCCCAAGAGGCGTAGTTTTGGCGGGAATTGTTAGGATAAAAAGGGGGCGAGGAGCGTTTCAGATGTCTTCTTGTCTGTAGTAGCCCAGAAAGGGCACCCCAAAACCCGCGCCTCTCCATCCCGAACTCAATCCCCTCATCATCGTCGTCGCTAAGGCGAGGACTCCATCACCGAGGCCCGAATATTGTGATCCCGATTCTAATATTCTTTGTTTTGTAATTATTGCGTGCCTTTTCGTTAATTAATTGTTTCGTCGTTCGATAAACTTGTTGTGTTTCGTGCGTGTGACGGTGTAACCCGTTGAGAAAGCGGTCGTACTTGACAAGAACCAGGGCCCATAGATTTAATGAGACTATTTGGGTTGAAGTGGAGTAGGACCTGACAGTCGGGCTTTGCACGCGTTCACGCAATTGTAGGGTTGACCTAATGTCCCAATATTGCATACTGTTTGATCTATGCAACGCAGAACTCCTCGAAATAAGAAATACGCCCAAGATGAAGTACGACAGGTAACTGCTCGGACACAGCCCATATTAAACACTTCAACGTTTTGAAAAGAAGTCAAATGCACGGCATAGCCAACTATAAGATGAGCGCGATGAACAAGGCCATTCATAGGCATGTGTCTGGAATTCTAGCTGACCTGATCAGTAAGTGGAGCAGCATCGAAACGTTGCGCAGCAGTCATTGCCACGGCGAAGTCGGGAGAACACAGAAGCTCGCCAAACTGTGCCTTAAGGAAAATATTTCAAAATAATCCGTGTGACATGCATAGAACTCGTCATCTAAGTAGCTGGTGACGTACATTTTCCTCCTTTATGTGAACACCTATGCAGCGTGAGCTAGCAATGGCTAAGCTGTCGACCGTTGGCAACATGTGTGAGAATAGGTCAGTTGCGAAGCGAATCTAAAAGATACGAATAAAGAAGAGCCTCAATGGTGGTCATCACCAGGTGGTGATCAAGGTATATTAGGGAACACAATCTTCGGAACTCACCAGGTGACACCGTGCCTTTGCAAAATCGTCATACCGTACTTCCATGATACTCAACAAATAACGAATAGGAAGGCGCATATAGACATCATTTGCGTAAATCTAAAAATTCCACTAAGCCTCTCCACAACATAATAACACGCATTAGCGAGCTCTATACCCCTGTGCTCCGAGCTGAATCTATTCTCGTCTTGTAGCATAGAAGGTACAAGAGGACAATAACTCGAACAGCTAGCTTGGACTCATCAAGAAGATCACCAGAAAACACACTCTAAAAAGCCAAATGAACAACATTGGTATTGTATTCAGAAAAGCAATCAAGGGAGATGTGGAAAAACCTCGACAAACTCATTCGATAACCCCGAGAGATTTTTCTGCGCTGACTCTATAGCGAAACGCAGGGTAAGTTCAGGTAGCTGTGGATGCATCGGCAATGACAGTTCTACGAGTTGGCTTTGCATCCAAGTCTGAAATGAATGGGAATAGAAATAGATTGTACACATGAAATCGCTATCCGTATTTGGCCACAAATTCCTACACTGATATCAACGTTGTGCTTTGTGAACGCGTTTGCTGACATTAGCTCTGCCATTGCGTGAATGGGCAACCTGTTTCCAGAAGAAGAAGACAGAGATGGTGTTATCGGTAGCGTTGCGCACCTTAAATATTTAGTGGTTGCCAAAAGTAGTGCGACAAATGTGAAACCTCAAAACCTCGCTGTGACATCCGCTTCAGAAAGGCAAGAGTTTACGAAAAGTGTTTTCCATTGTTCCATATGCCTCTGATGAATAGAGACCTGAATGAGATCATACTTTTGCAACTAACTCGGTTAAAAATGACTATACAAAATAGTTTACTTTCTGCAGTCTTAGTGTTTCTGCAAAATACGAGCAAATAGCATCCGAACGTCCTCCGACGATGCCCAGTCCAACATAGAGCAGATCTTTAGCCAGCGCTTGGCGAGAACCTCCTTCACTCTCACTTCGCAACCACTCAAACCAAACGGAAATATGAGGCTCCACCTGGTAGCTCAGAGCAACAGGAACACTCATGGAGCTGGAATAAGCACAAATTATAAAACAAAAGAATGATCCCAAACAAACTTGCAGAAAAGCTCACAAAGTTAATGTCGGGGTTGCAATAAGAGCAGCAAGAGCTGCAGTAAGATAGCCATCGCAAGAGATGTGACGTCGACAGATAAAACTTGTGATCGTGGTCAGATCCGATGGTGGCAGCTTCAACCCGCAACGATGGTACAAACAAATAATAGAGAACAGCAGATCCATCATAGGCTCGGTTGACTGCCTTTAAAGGTTTAGTATAAAAGAAGGTCTGCACAGTCCTGTGCATTGCACTAATTTCAGTGCATAGAGAATGAAAAATTTTCAAGTAACTAATGGCCTACAAATTTTACAAATTTGAAAAATAGACTGTGCCTTAGGAACGGATCTGAACATCAAATACTTATCTTGACTCACTTGCTGACGGCA